CATCCCATGGTGAAAAACTAGGGGTTCCATTTAAAAAAACCATCGTGACCCCTGAATGACCTTCAAAATGACCTTCCAAGGATTTTTCAAGGTCAGTATCATACTTCCCCCGTGTAACCCTAAACTTTTCATACGAAACATTTTTCTCTATCCCTACTAGTTTTCGAGATATTTGACTGGATCACTTCAGATGGTCCACCCTGTATATATACACACACATGTATTATAATTCTAATATACATAAAGTTACACGATTCATTATTCTTCGTATACATATACCTTTGGACAACTTGTTGTATCTCTTGTGGTGTCGTTGGAAAATGTATCCATTGCCTTAAAAGGTGATTATTAATGGTACACGTAACTTCTTGTAAAAACGTACTAACTGTAGATTGGGCTATGCTCAACCTACAGTCTACACCAACAGCCTTTTGATAGCTACCCTGAGCATAGAAATTCAGGGCACACAGTACCTAATTCAATAAATAAAAATTATATATAATACAATAATCTCTTATTAAAAGATACAAAGTTTAATTTAATAAGTTTACTTTAATAAAAGATATAAAATTTAACTTTAACATGAAATAAAATATGTTTATTTTGTTAAATAACGTGGTATACTGTACAATCGGTCACAGAAAGGTTGCAAAACTTTTTGCTCAATGTTTTAGAGTTTTAGAACTCTAAAGGCCATGGCACAATAAACTGAAAGCAATAAGATGTAAGTAGTAAGAAAATCAATATTGTGGATTTGCTATTTGTGTGCCATAGTTATAAGCACTAAAATTAGAAAACATCGAGCAAAAAGTTTTGTAATTTTTCTATGATCAACCATACATATTGTATCTGGAGACACGATAGCGTTTCGGCACTATTTTCTTTACCTTCAACTCATTTGGAACTGCTAGAGGACTTCTTCGCAGAGGAAGATATGGTTCCAACGTATCTATAAGTGCTCTTGTCATATTCCTGGTTAACCGATATAAACTGACAAATTGATTTTCAGGCAGAGCAAATGGATCGAGCATATCTCGTAACCTTCTTCTCATTATTTTATTCGCATTTACCTCTGCGAGATGTTGCCTCTCTCTTTCACGGCGTATTACTGCTAACTATAATATCAAAAAGAAAAAGATGTAATATTAACAAAATAATTAATATTAATATTATAATATTACTATTAATTTTCTTGTAAGATATTTTCAATACTTACCATTATCACAATTTATTATAAGTTTTTCTAGAATTCCTAATACATACAACCGTTTCAGTCAAGCGATCTCTCGAGACCACTCTTAACCTCCAAGGGTTTAAATTAAGTATCCCCACTTTATCCTTGTCGTTCTCACGTTTGATTCCGATCGGAATCGACATTTCGCCAGCTCGCGAGGTTCCAGAAACTTTCCGACCGTTTCGGAAACAATCCGACTGTCCATGATAACCCATCTAGTAACATCTAGTGATAAACGGAATAATTCCGATCGGAATCCATTCCGACTTTTTCCATGATAGGTACCCAGCATGACACGTTGTCCGACCCCGCGACGCCGTAATGATTTAGAGTATTTAGACGATCCGCAGAGGGAAATGATATTCGTGTGTTCGGCTACACATAAAACGAAGAGTGTGTTCTTCTTTTTAACGCAGAGGAGATTGGAAGTTTATCTTAAACCCTAGGCGTCTTAATAAATATATTGTGGCTCCGCATTTTAAGATGGAAGATTGAAGAACAGTTATCGATCTTCTGTCGCCTGATGACCTACTTGCCACCATTGACTTAGAGGACGCATATTTTCGGCTTCCTATTAAACAGGAGAACAGAAAATTTCTTCGGTTTCGCTTCCGATCGCAACTTTTTCAGTTCAGAGTTCTATCATTTGGCCTTGCGTCGGCTCCCTATATTTTCTAAAAAATTTTGAGGCCAATTCTTCATACTCTTAGAGAGAAAAGCTTCTTTTCAGTAGCTTATTTAAATGATTTTTTACTGATTGGTTCCTCGACCATTGTCGGGAGAAAGTTGGGAATACGGTGGAGCTCTTAACCTCTTTAGACTTCGTCATTAATTGACGTAAAAGCAACCTTATCCCAGCAAAATCTGCCCGGTTTTTAGGTTTCGTTTTTAACACGGAAGATTTTTCAATCGCAATTCCACAGGATAAGAGAACCAAGTGCCTCCAGAAGACCCTGTGGATATTAAACATAAAATCATGTAAGATTCGAACGTTTGCAAGCCTTATTGCTCGCTAATCGCGGTCTACCCAGCTGTGCAGTATGGGATATTACACTCTAAAGTCTTGGAAAGAGAAAAGTTTCTGGCTCTCTCAGCAGCAGAAGAGAATTTCGAGGCCCGAATGGTTCTATCTAGGTCAATTAGAGAGGATCTTCTCTGGTGGAAAAACATCTTCAGGGACTCCTCCCAGCGCAATAAAATTAGCCCAGCTGTTTTTAATCTAGAAATTTTTTCAAATGCGTCATTGTCGGGATGGGGAGCGGTGTGCGGAGAGTCGCGAACCCATGGGTTTTGGTCGTCGACGGAGAGGCTAAGGCATATCAATTACCTGAGCTCTTGGCAGTTTTTCACGCCTTGAGATGCTTCGCTCCCCATTTAACAGGCTGCAACAGCCTGTTAAAGAGTAGATAACGCGACGGCTTTATCTTATGTCAGCCGCATGAGCTCGGTAAAATTTCCAGTCTTATCGAGCTTCGCTCGAGAAATTGGAATTGGTGCACGGAGCGAGATTTATTTGTCTACGCCTCGTATATCCCTTCCGCTCTGAATATCGAAGCGGATGCGCAATCTCGCATTGTTTCTAAAGAAACAGAATGGTCTTTGAAGCAGGGCGAAAGATCATCACTGACAAAGCAGAGGGATTTTTAGTTGTCCCCTGGTGGCCAGCCCAACCATGGTTTCCGCTGTTTAACCGCCTCGCGATTACTCAGCCGATCCAATTCGATCCAGAAATTAACATATTATCATCTTTCAAAGATACTCACCCAGCATGGAACAAGATTTCCCTGGTGGCCGCCAGGTTATCCGCCAGGCATTTCTAGCCAAAGGAACTCCACCTCCGGCTCTGAACGCGACATTAGCAGCCCTCTCAGACGCTACGATCGCTCAGTATAACAAGTCACTTAGATTAGTCACCGCCGGTGACTTTAGTGCTAGAATTCTTAGCTTCTACATTAGCAAGCATTAACGCATACTCTTCCTTGAATACGTATCGGGCGGCAATCTCTCTCTAATATCATCAAACGAGATTAGCTCCCAGGCCCTAGTAAAAAGATTCTTCAGGGAAGTCGTAACGTTAAAGCCTCAGAATTCAGGTTACGAGTTCATCTGGGATCCGTCACCGGCCATCACCCACTTGGCTACGAGATATCCTCATGAGAGCCGTTTACTGGAATTAATATCCAGAAAACTGGTGACTTTCCTGGCGTTCACAACGGCGCAAGGATCGCAAACTTTAGCGGCGATACACCTCTCCAACTTCGTTTTTGCCGATTCTCTAGTTATTAAAATCTCAGTTAAGCTTAAAACCTCCAGGATTGGAAAACCGCAGCCACTCCTAGTATTCAAACCATTCGTGGATCAACCAAGCCTTTGTGTTTACTCACTAACAAGGCTCTATTTGAAGTTCACTAATGATCTACGCTCCAAAGATGCCAACTCATTGTTTATCGCTTTCCGGCCTCCGTATAACTCTATATCGGCACAGACATTAGACCACTGGATTAAGACGGAACTAGGAGCAGCCGGAGGTGATACTTATATTTTTTCGGCCCATTCTACACGGCATGCCTCAACCTCGTTTGCTACCAGCAGAGGTATTAATATAGAAGAAATCCGGTGTACAGCAGGATGGAGTAA